GCGCGCGCGTGCGGTCTGGATTTTCTGTGTGTGTGTGTGCGCGCGCAGGTGGGCGCCTGTGAGCATGTGGGTGCTGTGTGTATGTGTATTCTTCGTGTGAGTGACGTGTGTGGTTCTGTGTGGATCTGGGAATGGTTGAATGTGTGTTTTTCTGAGTTTGTATAAGTGTTTGTGTATGGGTGTGTGTGGGGGGGTGCGTGTGTGTGCGGGCATGCACACGCACACACGCGGTGGGAAAAGGAGCTCCCTGTGGTTTGGGAATGTGGGCCATGTTCCCACACCTTCAGACCTTCTTCTCCCTCACAGAACCCATCCTGGAGCCACCTTGGGGGACCCGAGCATCAAGGTAGGTGGGCCACTTCCTTTGTCTCCCACCTCTCTGGGCCCCCAATCTCCTCCACTTTCATAGCCGGGCTTCTGTCTCTCTCTCCTTTTCCTTCTTTTTCCTGTTTCTTCTTCCTTTGTCCCTCACTTCCTCCTTCCTCTTTCAGAAGAAAAAGTGGGGGGATCTAGAGTCCGAAGACTCTGACCCTAGTTCCAACTTTATCACTTACCAGCTGTGTGAACTGTGGCAAGTTGCTTAACCTCTCTGATCACAAGTCCCTCTTTAGTAAAATAAGGGTGATAATAATGCCTCCCTTATAAGATTTCTATGAGGTTTGAGTGAGAAATATATAGGAGAAAAACCCTTGGGGAGCTTGCAAATATTAAATATTATTATTGATAACATTTTAATTGATTTTGTTGTATTACTCCCTATTAACCAAACAGGCCCCATTCCCCCTTCCAGAGATGAGCTTCCTAGAACAAGGAGGGAACACTTCATGGCCATCGCCGGCCATGACCACTGGCTCAGAGAGAAGCCATGGGAAAGAGGGGGCCAAGGCCTCGAGATGGACAAGGCAGGAGACTGTGGAGGAAGGGGAGCTGCCGGGTCTGGGGGAAGGTGAGGCCCAGGCCAGTTCTGGGGAGTCGGGAGTGGGGGCAGTGGGATGTCCCAGAGCCTGGGGCTGGGGCTCTCCTCTGGATCCCTCCAAAGCACAGAGGTGGACCCAAGCGTCATCCTGTAGCCTCAGTCTCTCCACATGGGAAAGGTCAACTGCGTTGCAGAGCCAGGGGTCCGGCACGGCCAACTCAGGACAGAACCACTATCCTGTGTGACTCTGAGACTCAGCTTTGGGGCCACAGCATCCAGGCTTCCCAAGGCTGCTGCGAGGTTGACCCGAGCCAGCAGATAAGAAAGTGCTCCAGAAGATGGACTTACTGTCCTCTCCCCCTCCAACAGATCCAACAGATTCCCAGGCCAGGCCACCTGCTGAGTACACCGGGCTGGAGGCCACATTCCCCAAGGCCACACACTTGTCCCAAGATGCTCCTTTGGCCCGGCTGGGCTCCCCACCCGCAGAGTGGGACATCTTCCCCCATGACGATGCAGCCTCAGCGGTGGGCTCCAGCACAGATGATCTGGAGCTGGACATAGAGTTCTCAGCCACTGCGGGCTGGGGGTATGAGCTCGGCCTGGTGGAAGAGAGACCTTCCCTGTGTCCCTCCCCGCGGGCGCTGTTTCCCAGGCTGGGCTGGGACGATGAGCTGCAGAAGCCGGGGGCCCAGGTCTACATGCACTTCATGCAGGAGCACACCTGCTATGATGCCATGGCGACCAGCTCCAAGATGGTCATCTTCGACACCAAGCTGGAGGTACGGCCATGGCTTTGCCCCACCTCCCTCCTCAGGGGCTGCAGCCCCCGCTCACACCCTCCGGGACACCCTGCCGGGCACCCCCTGCAAATCCCCTTCCAGAACTCCTTCTGAACACCTGGGAGGCCAGGGCTGGGGAGGGCTTCTCTCCCTAATTGTCATCCCAGCTCTGCCATTTAGTATCTGTAGGATCTTGGGTCAGTCACTTTACCTCTCTTGTCTCTAAAATAGGGATGGGGGGCGCCTGGCTGGTTTAGTCGGAAGGGCATGCAACTCTTGATCTTGGGGTCATGAGTTCGAGCCCCATGTTGGGTGGAGAGATTACTAAAAAAAAAAATAATAACAAATACAAAATGAAATAAAATGGGGACAGGAATGCCTGCTTTGCCCTACAAGCTTCGGAGGACTCCTGGGACAACCCAGGATAAATGGGAGCAGTTTGCGAACCCCAGAGTATGTGGAAGACATAGCAGGGTGGCCTAGGACAAACAGCAGGGAACTCTTGGTAACGGAAAATTAGGATGAGCTCTAGTCCCTGCTCTTCCACTAGGCTAAGTTATGGAATGCCTGATTCCATTCTTACCATCACAGAGAGCAGACCAGTGTTTCCAGAAGCACAGCATATGGACCATCCACAGTACACTATTTGATTCTAGTGGTAGATGAACAAATATATTTATTTTAGTAGCTTTGCATTTATTTTAATACGCATTAGAAAAATCCACCCAGAACAGATACAAGCAGTGTAAGTGGTATTAGTTAGGATGAGGCCACACGAGTCACCGTCAGATTTATTTAGAGAAAAGTATTTTGTAAGTATTACGTAAGTATACCTCTAGTGCCTAGATTAGCAAAAACTATACTGTGTGTGACTGTCCACATATGACTTACGAGTGGGAACGCTGGGTTAGTTTCCCACTCCGGGACGAGCCAGAGGAAGGGGTCCCTGCCGCGCCTCTGGCCACCAGCAGCCTTAGCTCTGAGCAAGTGCGCCTGACAAGGACCACGTCCAGTGGATGCCAAGGCTTAGGAAAGGCAGTGAAGCTCACGTACAGGAGACCCTGGGAGAAGGCCCCAGGGAAGGCCCGTGGTGGGGACAGTGTGCCACTGAGGGGCAGGGAGAGACTCACCCCCACTGTTCTCTCTGGCCCTCAGATCAAGAAGGCCTTCTTCGCCCTCGTGGCCAACGGCATTCGGGCGGCACCTCTGTGGGACAGCAAGAAGCAGAGCTTTGTGGGTGAGGAGGGGCGGGGGGCAGAGGTGGTAGGGAAGGGGAAAAAGAGATCTTTGGTGGAGATTCTGGGGCTGAGCTCTGATGCGCCACAGCCTTGAGCAGACCCTCAGGCCAAGCCAAGCTGGGGGCTGGCACTGGGAACATCAGATCCCGGTCTTGTGGCCACCGGGTGGGAGACCCCACGCATGGAGTAGGTGTGACCAGCTGACCACTGCAGCTCTACTCCCCTGTGGGAGTATGACATCCCATGTCATAGGTGCTAGATAGGAAGAGAGGAAAGGGAGAGGAAGAAATTAGGAGAATAGAAGGTGGGGGAGGAGAGAAATGACAGGGGAAGCATAGAAGGGACGACCCCCATTTCTCAGGCATGGGAGGGGCTGCCCTGCTCCCCTCTTTCCACAGCTCCCACAGCTGTCTCAGTCCTCGGCCTCTGGCAGAGCAGGGAAGGGGGTCCGACCCCTCAACCAGCCCCTCACCACAAGGCCCCAGGCTGACCCCCCCCACCCTCCCCTCCTGACCCCGCAGGGATGCTGACCATCACGGATTTCATCTCAGTGCTGCACCGCTATTACAGGTCCCCGCTGGTGAGAAGTGGGCTGGGGGTCCCCGGAGGCTCCCATCTGGGCTGGGACGGAGAGTGGCTCAGGGAGCCTGGTGTCCCGAGGGGCCCATGTCTGACTTCTGGAGTCCTGTCTGTTCTCTAGGTCCAGATCAGTGAGATTGAAGAACATAAGATTGAGACCTGGAGAGGTGAGCTGGCGGGGGGGGGGGGGGGGGGGGCGCCTAGAAGGGGCTGAGGGTGTGTGTGGGTGAGCGGGGGGCCAAGCACCTGGGGTGGAGGATGGGCAGTGGGGATTTCCTGGAGGGAGCAAGGGAGGGCCCAGAGGGAGCCCAGAGGGCCTGAGGGAGGAAGACAGTCTGGGAGCTGCCAGGTGACGGGCAGGGCAGCCAGCTCCCTGGGCCTGACTCTGGCTTTGCCTACAGAGATCTACCTTCAAGCCTGCTTCAAGCCTCTGGTCTCCATCTCTCCCAACAGAAGGTAAGTGTCCCCAGCCACCCACCTGCGCCTCCTTTTCCCGAGCAGTCCTCTTCCCCAGCTCCTCAGTTCTGAACTCGGGCTCATCCTGCAGGGGACAAGGCAGCCTGTTCACCCTGTCCTCCTCTTGCAGGGGCTGGGGTGGAGGGCGTATCTCCCCCAGACCCACTGCTCCCACCTCTGCAGCCTGTTTGAAGCTGTCTACACCCTCATCAAGAACCGGATCCACCGTCTGCCGGTCCTGGACCCGGTCTCAGGCGCCATGCTCCACATCCTCACACACAAGAGGCTGCTCAAGTTCCTGCACATCTTTGTGAGCCTGGGCACAGCCTCGGGGTGCCCTGGGGGGCTAAACAGTCCTTGGCCCAACGGACTGAGGAGGGAGCAGCTGGGAGCCCTCGGGGTGCTGCTCCACCCTGATCCCCACGTGTCCCTAACCCACCCAGGGCACCCTGCTGCCCCAGCCCTCCTTCCTCTCCCGCGCCATCCAAGATCTGGGCATCGGTACATTCCGGGACTTGGCCGTGGTGCTGGACACAGCGCCCATCCTGACGGCACTGGACATCTTTGTGGACCGGCGCGTGTCTGCGCTGCCCGTGGTCAATGAAGCTGGTACCTGCACCCAGGAGTGGGGCTGGCTAGGGTGGGGTGGTGGCAGGCAGGGGTCTGTGGGCATCAGCTCAGGACCCAGGGTGGAGCTGAGGCTCGAAGTCCGCCTGCTTTGAGTCTTAGAGCCATTCCTTAGCCTCTCTGTGCCTCGGTTTCCTCATGTGTGACATGGGAATCTTAACAACACCCATCCTCTGACTTTAGGGGATGATTTGAAAGGAATATATGCAATAAAATGAGCGTGGTGAGAGGAAACAAGAGATGAGGCTTTTAATGTTAATTCATCCTAAAATGGGCCAGGGGATCCAGCCAGATCTCCCCTTTTCTCACTCTGAAGAGGGGTTAGAGGGACTCCATTTCTTTGGTTGAACCATGGCTGTAAACCATTTCAAAGTTAAAATTGCTGTAATGATGCTAGATACCAAGAAATGTTTTGATTTATTTTTGATTATGAAAAATTTCGAAGGTATGAAAATGGTAGGAAAAAACGTATAATGAAATCCACCTATCCTTTACCTGGACTAACTCCTGTTAACATATTGCTGTAACCAGTTGTGTTTTGTTCCCCTCCCCCTTTTTTTGCTGAAATAATTTAAATTACAGAGATCATGTCATTTCCCCCCTACCCCTTCAGTCTGCACCTCTTAAAATCAGTATATTTTCCATATCACCTAACAAAACTCTAAATAATTTATTAATATTATCTAAGAGCTGATCCTAATTCTCATTTGCTCACCTTCCCTGAGAATATCTTTTTTTTTTACAGTTGATTTGGACAAACCAGGATCCAGTTAAGGTCCATGCTTGCATTTGCTTATTTTGTCTTAAGTCTCTTTTAATGTGGAACGGTTCTGTCTTCACTTAATTTCCATGACATTACCATGGGTCGGTTGTCCTATAGAATGTCCCACCTCCAGATTCGTCTCTGCTTCCTACAGGTGGCTTCAGCGTTGTTCCTTTATTCCCGGGTTTCCCCGTAAACTGGAAATTAGATCTAAAGCCTTGGTCAGATTCAGGCTACCCATTTGAAGCTAGGGTATTTCAGAGGTGACACTATGTACTCATGTTGCATCACATCAGGCGGCATATCAACCTGTCTGTCCATGATGCTGTGTGACCTGTGGCTTCAGGTGGTGACAGCCCGATGTGTCATTTTTGAAGCCAGTAGCCCGGGGAGGGGTGGGGGATGTCCAGTAATTCCTTCTGAAAGCCCGCCCCCGGCCCTTGCACAACGTCCTGGTCCTGATGTGAACCTCTTCCCTTTCTTCCTCTCCCCCCACCCCCCGCCCCCCGCAGGACAGGTCGTGGGCCTCTACTCCCGCTTTGATGTGATTGTAAGTGTCCGCGGGATGGGGAATGAGGGCGCCACAGGGAGAGGCGGTGGGTCTGAGGATCGGTGGAGGGCTATCTGTGGACCAGAGGACCTTTACGAGGGTAGAGGGGCAGTATGTGTGGGTCCGGAGCCTGGCTGAGAGGCTGACTCACACGGCACCTCCTTCCCTGCCCCAGCACCTGGCTGCCCAGCAAACCTACAACCACCTAGACATCAGTGTGGCAGAAGCCCTGAAGCAGAGGACACTGTGTCTGGAGGGAGTCCTTTCCTGCCAGCCCCACGAGAGCTTGGGGGAAGTCATCGACCGGATTGTCCGGGAGCAGGTACCCCATACCCCTGCGTACGCACGCCCAACATGTACAGCCCAGTCCTCATGAGTGGCTCCAGCTGTCCCTATACACCCTGTCCTCCCGTTTCGTGGCCATTTCGAGCTCTCGGTGTCCACACTGGTCTGCAACTGGTCCTGCCCATGGGGCCCCCGTGCTAAGGGGCCACAGACAGTTGATCACCCAGAGTGGTCAGAGCCACCCCTAACTGGTTTCTAGGAGACACGCTCTTGCTCCTCCAGTTATGTTCCTTTGATGCCCCCGATTCTTGGCACCTGCCTTGCTGGCTGCCGTAGCCGCACGGCTCTGACCCCTCACGGACCCTCTGCGGACCCACAGGTACACCGGCTGGTGCTAGTGGACGAGAGCCAGCATCTCCTGGGCATCGTGTCGCTCTCCGACATCCTGCATGCGCTGGTGCTCAGCCCTTCGGGCATCGACGCCCTCAGTGCCTGAGAACATCCGAGTCCTCCCTCCCAGGCCACCTTTCACACGCCAAAGCCAATGAGGGGAGCCAGGGGACCCGGCCTTCATCTTCCCTCACCCCCATTTGCTGGTTTGGCTCTGGTACAGGTAGGCTCTGCCCTGGGCCATTGATCTTTTGGGGCTCTCAGATCTCAGACCGGGGCACCTCAAGGACGGGAGTGGCCCAGCTCATTGCTGAGGAGCCCCATGAAAACTCCAAGTGTCAGGACTCACTGTGGGGCCCCCACTTTGTCCCGGTCTCAGCTGAGGTCATGGTGGTCCTCATAAGAGGGATGGGCAGGGGCTGGGGTAAAGGCAAGGGCAGTGATGTGATTTCAGATGCTCTGGGGAGACTGACCTGCCCTCTCACGACTCAATTCCCGCCGGCTCGGAATTCCACCGGAAGGAAGCAAGTTAATAAACCTTTGTTGAATGGAATTTCCATGCTCAGTAAAAACTACGGCCGAAAGGAGGGCGCTTCTAAGTACTCATCTCAGTAAATTTGACACCGTCTCAGACTCTTGGCTGGTAGCATGCTCGCTAGGGGCTCGCACAGATTCCACCTGCTTGGCGGAGCATGGCAAGACGAGGTTCCCCGGATTGGAAAGGCAATCTCCCCCCACAGTGTAGTCACTGTCTTCCCTTCTCTTTTCCCCGCAGGCTTCTCCAGCCTTCCCTGATTGCCCCTGCCTTGCCTATGCTCCCAGAAGCCCTCACGAATGCCCAGTGCACCGTGGGATGGTGAAATGAAGGAGAACGGCTGAGTTAAGCCTAGAGATCTGTGAACCAGAAGCACTGGGATTACCCCAAGGCCGGTGGCTCCGGGCCCACCCACGTCACTTCCCCCCACCTGGTGGGGTGGCCGGCCCCAGCAGGGCAGGAAGGCCTCGGCCGGTGGGGTTCGTCAGGAGTTCTGGATTCCTCAGCTTCTGGACTACCTGGGAGTCCCAGCTGTTCCTCCACAACCACTAAGGTGGTTCCGCACCACTGTGCCCCTCCTCCTCCTCCCAACATTGTCATTTCAGGGCTGCTGGTGGTCGCGGTGGAATAGCAGCTCTGGGTGGAGTCTGTTGAGTGGGGTCCTCCCTCCGTTCTCATCCTGAGCACCAGGAAACATTGTTCTCATTCCCCAGGGACAGCCTGGGTTTGGATCACTGTGGATGAACCGTTGAGAAAACAAAGAGAAAAAACCACGAATGAACTTGAATTGTGGAAGTTTAACTCCGAAAATGCCAGTCATTTGACCTGAACCTGTGGCAAGACCCCTGTGCTTTCTGAACTCAAAGACACGAGGGAAGGTCTGTGATGGACAAACACTATGACTGGCATTTCTTTGGTGCATAGAGCGTTACCCCACCGAAATTTCTTTTTTCATCTTTCATTTATAACAAAACCACAAAGCAGATATGAATTAGTTAATTACATAGTAAATACAACTCAGTCGACAAACTCTCATCTGCAGGAAACATAACTTTATTTTTCTAACACTGAATGGAGTTTCTATTATGAACCCCGTTTCACCAGGTGGGAGAAATTAATCTCAGTCCGTCTAGGGCTCATCCCCCACCTTTGCCTGGGGTTAAATTCGGTGAGGCGGGGGAAGGCTCTAAGTAGCGTGAGACTTTGTTCCTCCGTCATCATCACCCATGCATGTCAGCACCAGCTAAAACAATCCCATTCCCATCTGGTTGTCTCTGGTTGGTCATTGGTGGGCCTGGCGCCTGTTAGGTTCTCCCTCAGTCCCTACCACGAAGCCTCCTTGGGCCCGCTTGCTCTTGGGGCATGAGGACATTCTAGCTCCTGGGCCTGCACCCCTCTGGGCTTCGGGAAGCTCTGCAGGGCCGTCCCAAGCCCATCTGCTCAGACGGACAGCAAGTGGTCTGCTTTATTCTGCATTTTGCTTTATTTCGGCCTCCACCCTGGAAACATAGGGCACAGGGCTCTTCTACCCTTGTCATCTTCAAACCTCTCTGGGGTATCTGTCACACTCCCCCCTCCCTTCAGACACAGCTCCCTTCTCAGGGCCCCTCTTCTCAGGGACCCCAGAACTGTGGACTTCAGAGATCTCCACAGTCTCTTTGCTTTCCCAACCCCATCAACCTATGGCATCTTTACCACTGGGGCCTTTTTACGAACCCACCACGCATTCTTCCACGTCCACTGTCTGTGTCTTGCGTTTCTTGCCACCTACCTTGAGGGCCAAATTCCAAAACCAAGACCAGGTTTCTGCTGTATCATCCCTTCCCTGTGGCAATGGACACTGTAGGTCTGCTGTCCCGTGGGCAGAGGATAGGCTAATATTTCTAAAATATGATCCTACCTCATTTACCTCATGGAGCAACGGAGTGGAGACATTTGTGCTTGATGAGTCAGGCAGCAAAAGAGGGCCTTTTCTCATGGATACCCAGCCTCTGTCTCCGACTTTGCCATAACCCACGGGTCAGTGCTGCAACTGCTCTGGCCCTCCCTGGGAAGGCCCCGGGCCTTGGGCTCAAGTGGGATGATGGGATGGGGGTGCTTCTCTGGGCCTGTCTCAAGTGACAGTGTCCTCGGAGAGCCGGGGGCAGGCTGCCTCCAGCTGCAGATGACCGTAGGGTAAATGTAGCAGGTCAGTCTCTGAGGGGGGGGCCCCAGATTGCTCCGCATAAGCAGACCTTCAGAAGTCATAGCGCAGGCAGAAGGGGCAGCCTGAGGAAGTCCCTCCTTCCCTTTCCTACTCCCCCTGAGAGTAGATAGGTCTCCAGCCTCCTGGGCCCCACCATGCTGAGGACCCAGCAGTTCTCCCTTGGGCCCTTCTGTGAGGGACCATGCCAGCGCCCTGCCTCAGACCTCCTGCTCGGGTCACAGCCCAGCCCTCCGTTCCCGACAGTCCTCCAGCATCATGGCTGCTAGAACAGAGGCAAAGGGTTGCCATGGGGATAACTCCTGCCCCGACTCTGAATAAAAGTGTGAAACCCACCCTGCTGGCCCCTCTGTTCATGCCTCTGAACCTGGGGCTGGCCACGTTTTCTAGGCATTATTGGCTCCATGCCCCTGACTCCTGCCCTGACCTCCGAAGCCCCTCCAAGTTTCTGTGTACCCCAGGCTGGACTCTCCCACTTCTCAGCCCACCCCTTCTCTTCTCTCCCACCATCTCAACAGCTGTCAACCCTGGCAGGGCAACAGGATGCCCCGGGGAGCTTTATAAGATGTAAATTCCAGGGCCGGGGCCTAGAGATGCTAATATCCTGACTTTGGGGGGGGTACCTGGGCAACTGTATTTATTTTCTGCAGACACTAGAGATTTATGATGCATAACACGTGATGAGCACGATGGCTTGCTGAGAGGTAAGGATGCCTCATTTCCATAATTAGGAAAATCATTTGTCACGTTATTGCATCTATATTATTTGTTATGACTAAGATCTACAAGAAGAGCTGGCACAGCGTAGGAGAGACACGATTTGCTGGCATTCTTGCTGGTCTTCCAAACATCCACAAATACAGAAGAATTCAGTACAATGTCCCGTATGTCCATCTCATGATGACAGTTGTCAGAGCTTTTATTTAACACGCATCTTTTTTTTTAAGATTTTATTTATTTATTTGAGAGAGAGAGAATGAGAGAGAGAGAGCACAAGAGGGGGGAGGGTCAGAGGGAGAAGCAGACTTCCTGCTAAGCAGGGAGCCCGATGTGGGACTCGATCCCGGGACTCCAGGATCATGACCCGAGCCGAAGGCAGACGCTTAACTGACTGAGCCACCCAGGTGCCCGACAAGCTGATTTCTGACCCCAAATTATGGATCTTACCCAAAAATATGGATCCTACTTTGGCCAACAAGTTCAAATTAGCTGCAATGGCGGTAAGGAGATTTGCACATTCTTTTCAACCAAAGGTGTATCTGCTGTGCTGAGTTAACATTCGCTTGCTTCTCCGCAATGATCCTAAATCCAATTGTTGTTCTTTCCTTACAGAGGCGGGTCAGGGTGGGTAATCAGGGAGCCCAGCTGTTAACATTGCTTCCCTGTTACTTATGTGGGCAGCGCAGGGTCCCTGAGACCGCAGACCCCTGGTGGTCCGAAGGAGCAGCCCACTGGGAAGGCAGAAGTGGCTCTGGTTGACTTTGTGACAGAAATCCCTGCCCCCTCTGAGCCCAGCTCCCACGCTCCGCATGCATAAGGCGCTCTCACAGCTGAATCCCGGCACAGGTGGGGTCAAGAGCTATGCCGTTATAATCAGGAATTCCTCCGAACTCTCCAGATTTCCGGACTCAGTAGGAAAAGCTCTGCATCGTCCCCTCTTCTTCCTTCCCCTGCTTACTATTGCAGCCTCTTCTCATTCAACAAACTTTTATTAATCGCCTCCTACGGGCTAGACACAGAGTTGGTCACCTGGATCCAAACTGAAAGGAGCTTGATTTGTGCCCTCCAGGGGGTGCACAGCTGGTTGGGGAGACAGTCGGGTCTCCAACACGGTCAACAGGCAGAGCACTCAGTTCTGTAACATGGCGGGTGGGGCGGGGGGAGGCGGGGAACACGAAGTGCTTGTGCTCCCCCAGAGAGGTCAGGGGAGGCTTATTCAAAGGCAGTGACATTTGAGCTGAGCCCTAAGGAAGAGCAAGTTCTCTGGGATGGCATCACAGTTGCTGAAGAGAGTGTTCCAAGGAGACGGGACATTAAGAACAAAGTATTGAGGCCAGAAAGAGCGGAATGTGCTCAGGTCTATACAAGGAATTGGGGTTAGGCTGTGGAAAGGGTTTCTGGGCAGGGAGTAGGGGTGGAGGGTAGGGTGCCAGAGTCTTCCAAGCCAGAGTAAGGACTTAGGACTTTGCTTCAGGGCTGAGAGAAGCCACTGAAGGATTTTAATAAGGACAATGACATCTTTCTTTTTTTTTTAATCTCACCAACATAAGAAATTCGACTTTAGTTTTCTATGACCCAGCAGAAATGTACCACCGGGGCTGGGACTGTGAGGCTGGGACTCATCGCCTCGTCAAACCCGCGGTACTCTCGGTCTCGCCAGCCCGCTTGCCTTCTGGTCGGCTTCCTGTGCTGAAGAGGCTGGAAAGCTGAGAACTATAATCCCCATACTGCCCTGCAGCTCGGGTTCCAGGCCGGCCCTGGGTTCCACCTCTCGGTTGTTTGTGAGACGTCGGTGGAAGGTGCTAGCAGGACAGAGGCCATGCCTCTGCTCCTCCCAAGGTCGCTGTGTCGCTGTCGCTTTGCGGGGGGCGGGGGGGAGGGGCAGTCATGGGCCAGGAGTGGGGTCAGGGAGGACGCTTTTTCTCCCCACCGGCAGCACTGACCCGGGAGACACGGAGGCACACTGGGGCCAGCAGCTGTGGCGACAGCTTCGCGACACTCATGCTCCTGAGGGCGGCCAAGCTGGTGCTTCCCAGGCTGACAGGAGCCCCGGGAGCCGTTGCTGAAGATCCAGCCGAGAACGCCTCCATCCATTCTGGCAGCGCTGCCTATATCAAAGCACGAGGGGGCCCCTCTTGGGGGTCCGGAGGATTGTTCTGCAGGTCCTACTCAGGCTGGGCTTCAGCAGCACCAGCTGAAGGTCCAGGAAAGCACAGGTGTTCTCACTTTCTCCAGAGGGAGAGGGCTCTGCCTCCCACAAGATCCCTAAGTGGGGAGAGGCTGTTCCCCAAACACAGCAAGGGGCTCAGATGCTGGGTCATCAAAGAGAATGACAAAGGTCTCCAATTATCAATACGAGTCCCTTTATTCTGTATTTTCTCCAAGGAGAGCAATGTGACATGGTGGTGGCCTTTTATCTGAGAAGGAGACATTCAAAGTGATCAAAGTGGCAAAAGCTCAGGGTTCTACAGAAAGTGCACTGAGTTTCTTCGACCTCCGGTGTCTGGCAGCCACCTTCTCCCCCTCCTGGTCTGAGACACAGCAGTGGCTAGGAATGAGTGCGCCAGGGAGAGAGAAGGGGGCTCCTCCCAGGAGGCACGGGCCCAGCGCGGCCCAGCTCAGCACTGCCTCTGCCGGAAACGTAGGCTGACCTTCTTATTGGGAACCAGGACAATGCGGGCCATGCTCCTCACCTCCCCTGTCTCGGGGGCCAGGACCACCTCATACTGCTGGATCAGCTGGGGGAGAACGCACGCGGGGCGTTAGAATCTGCCATCTCTATCCACTGCCCTCCTTTACATGCTCCTCCCCCTGGTCTCCACCAGCCCTGCAGCTTCTCCCCACTCACCCTTGACAGCAGCAGCTGCATCTCCAGCTCCGCAATCCTGCGGCCCAGGCAAGCCCGGACCCCATAGCCAAAGGGCACAGAGCCAAATGGATGCTGGACCCCAAGGGCAGCAGCCTGGCTCTTCCTCAGCCAGCGGTAAGGCTGGAAGCTCTCTGGCTGGGGGAAGATGTCAGGGTCACGGGACACCACATAGTGACAGAAGACAAACTGGGTCTGCAGGACAAGAATGGGCAGCACATCAGCTTAGGGCTACAGCGCAGCCCTGGGAATCCCAGCTCTTCAGCCCCACTCACATTCTTGGGGAAGAGGAAGCCATTGACTTCGATCTCCTTTTCCGTGATGACCCGGGAGTTCATGGGGACCACAGGGTAGAGGCTGCAGGGAAAAGAAGGTGCAGGTTTGCCTCTGGTCCCCCAGGTCCAAGTTCTTCCCACCTCACCCCTGGCCCTAGCCCTTGCTCCAGCCCACCAGCCCCCACTCCCGACTCCTGTCCCTGAGTCCTCCTCCGCATAGACCCTGTGCTCCCGGGAACCACCACCTACCGCAGGGTCTCCTTAAGCACGGCTTTGAGCAGGGGCATGTGGGCAAAGTCCTTGTGCTGGGGCACCTGCCCGGCTGGTACCACACCCACCACCTCCTTATGCAAGGCAGCCTGGATCTCTGGATTCTTTGAAAGATGGTACAGGGCCCACGTCATCGTGTTGGATGTCTGGGAGGCAGAAGGAGAGATGAAGTGAGGAGGGATTTCTAGGCAAAAGGCGAGTGAGGTAGCAGGAGGGGAGTGGGCATGCACCGAAAAATGAATTTGCCACGAGCATGGCAGAAACAGACACAGGGGCTCCTGGGGACTCTCCCTGCTGAGCGTGACTCAGGCAGGGTGAGGACCCACAAGACGGAGAATCATGCTCTAACAACAAGGAGATTGGAACAGAGAGAACAGAGCTCCCCATTTAAGTTACACCTTAAATAGATGGGAGAGGAAACTTCTAGCTGGCCCAGAGAGGCTCCAGGAGGTGACGGGATCCCTCTTACAAAAGGACCCTTCCCTGCCCGCCTCTGCCAGGTTGAATGACAGCCCCCCCGCCTTTTTCCTTCTAGCTCTACATCTAGGATACAGAAAGAGAGAAGCAGGTACCTGGAGGGACGAAGGTCAGGCTCAGGTGAGGGTAATGGGGAATTGGTTCAGGATAAGAGCTGGGAGCCCCTGGTCTCCTCGCTGGCCCCCCTCACGCACCGTGTCTACGCCCGCCAAGAGCAGCTCAGGCAGGCTGCCCATGGCCTCATGAGTACTGAGCTGTCCTCTGGTCAGCAGGAAGTGCAGGTAGCCAGATATCTGGACTTCATCTGGCCCCTTGGTCTGCAGCTGGATCTCGATCTCCTTGAGTTTCTGATCAATCAGCTTCTTCCCTAGAGGGACAATGGAGAACAAAGGGGGGCAAGGTCAAAAGTCATGATCTCCAAGGACCAAGAGCCACTCTGACAGCTGGTAGCAATGAGGTAGAAGGTCCTGGGAGAGACTGCTGATGGTACAGACCCTGGAACCCACTCCCCCACCCCCAACCCTAACCCCGCCACTTCCTTCCCCGGCCTCCTCACCAAAAGAGAAGATGGTGTTCCAGCCATCCAGATAGCGCTTCCAGAAAGGCAGCAGGGAACGGGTCCACTTGGGGAGGAAGGTGACATAGACTGAGTTCTGGAACATGAGCCCGACAGATGTGACGAAGGCCACCGTGTCCTCGGGGATGGGGCGCTCCAGGCAGCCGATGCGTTTCTCAAACAGGATGTAGCAAATAGCTGCCGGTGCACAGAGGCCGTCAAAGGCAGCAATGTCATGGCGCCTGGAATCCAGGGGGGCTGAGGAGGGGGAGCACAACCTGCCTCTGCCCCTGCCCACCCCAGCCCCTCTCCCAACAACGGTACCTTCCAAAGCGAAGTAGTAGAAATGGTGAGCCATGTCAGACACCTGGTCCCCCGAGGCACTCTCTGCCAGCAGCCGGTTCAGGTGGGCCACGAAGTCATCGATCACCTCATTCACGACATCGGTGTAGAGCGCAGCCTCCCTCGGCTTCAGCATCCGCTGGTTCAGAGTGTGGCGCAGCTCGTACCACTGCTGTCCTTCCCTATGGAGAAGGGAGGAAGCGCACACTTGTAAGCAGCTGATGGAGGTTAGATGGGATGCATTCTTCCCCCTGCCCTGAGACCCCAATAGAGTCTAGGAAAATCTCCTAGATTTAGAATTATACAATCACTGAACTTCGAAGACCAGAATCTTCAAATCACAAAACTTCAGAGTCTCACTACAGCACCGTGGAAGTAGTCAAGGTAGGCATCTGGAGCCAGACTACCTAGGGCCAAATGACAGGTCTGATGATTACTGGCTGAGTGACCTTAGGCAGGCGACCTAACTCCTCTGTGCCTCAGTTTCCCCTTCAGTGAAATGGGAATAATAAGCATGCCTATCTTGGTAGGGTTCTTTGGACGATTACAGTGCTTAGATCAGAGCCTGGCACATGGTGAATGCTTAATGAATGTTGACTATGATTATCTTAGGTTGATACAACTCCAGAATCTTCTGTATGTGAAATGAGGAGGAAGTGCAATCGTTCCAGTCCTTCTGTGTGGAGGATGAGGAATAAAGGAGGAGCAAATCAGGGTTCCTGAGAAGCTCAGATTCTGGACCTTCATGCTCTGCTTGGCTCAGTGAGCCAAACGGACAGGGAGACCCACCAGGCTGATGCCCCAGGTCCTCTTGCTACAGTCATCCAGTGAGGGGGTTGGGTCCCCACCCTGGTTAGACAGGGATGCTCACGAGGGTGGGAACATGCTTCCCACAGGGGGCTTCAGGTGCAGGGACTGTCCCCACCCACAGCTGTCCCCCAAACCTGTTACCTTCCCTAAGCAAGCTGGGCATGGGTCAGTTTTGTAAAAGCTAGCTGTACAGTAGTAAGTACAATATGGCCCAATTTTAGAAAGAAGAAAGGAAACCCTATAGATCCATATGTATATTCGATTGTTTCCACATAATGTAGGGAATACCCACCAAACTGTCAGGATTACTTAGAAGAATGGGATGGGAGTGGGCGGTAGGGAGACAATATTTTATTATTGAACTTTTTACAATAAACATTACTTTTGAATTGTAAAAACCAATAAGGTATTTTAGAAAGAAAGATATTAGGGGCACCTGGGTGGCTCAGTGGGTTAAGCGTCTGCCTTTGGCTCAGGTCATGATCCCAGGACCATGTCCTGGGTTCGAGCCCCGCATCGGGCTCCCTGCTCATCGGAGAGCCTGCATCTCCCTCTCCCACTCCCCCTGCTTGTGCCTCTTTTCCTCTCTCTGTCAAATAAATAAAATCTTAAAAAAAAAAAAAAGATATTAAAAAGGCTTACAGCAAGAATCGGGGGGTTTTTATTTAGAAAAGTATTTATTTAAATGAACCTCAAACCTCAGGAGTTTTCTTTGTTATGTTGGGAAAAGCTGCAAAAAGGTCAACTGAAAGTGCTGCTGAAAAAGAAACAAAAACCAGAATAGACTCATTTACTGGAACTTCAGGGTGTGGGTGCTTCTCCAAGAGGAAAAAATTCTCCCAATAGCAGCAATCAGATTTGCAGAATTTAAATGAGAACATTTCTGTGGTTGTTAAAATATTTCCTGGGAGAAAAATGCTTCATAAAATGAGATTTTAAAAAAATGTATATATATACACACACATCTCTATATATGTAAAGCAAAAAGAACTTATCATTGGTTAGCAAAATAGCTTTAAAATACACATATATGGTATCATATAATTAGGAAATTGGCTGTAGAGTGAAAAACTATAAATAGATAAATAGGGGTATACATAATGTTCAGCTCCAATTCTAAATCCTGAGCCATCAACTCTAGTGGTGACCTGACCTGGTGAAAACCTAAGACCCAAGTCCTGCCCTCAGGGCCAGACATCAAGTTAAAGAGCTCTGGAAGGACCAGACGCTCGATTCTCTTCGTAACTTTGAATAAAGGGCTCATTAATTGCTGCAGTTCTGAAACTGTCCACCTGTGAAGGAACCACAAAAAAGACACAAATATGCGATGGGAGAATGAACATAGAGGCATCAAAGACAGATGAAATGCACCCTCCAACCGGTTTGCTTCCTTTCCAAAAGTATCAAGGCATTAAGTTCTTAACTTTCAGAATCAGAGAGATCTATTCCACCACTTACTAGTGACAAGTGATGCCAAAACCTCTCCAGGCTTCAGTTTCTTCATCTATAAAAGGGGATAATTACACTATCTACTTCAGGGACTTGTTGTGAGAATAAAATGAAATGATAAATGTAAAGAGACTAGCCTGATACCTGGCATGTTATTAACACCTGCTTAGCTACTATCATTGGTCCTGCTACGATAACCACCATCAGGATCAACTTTAATCCCTTAAGAAATGATGAAAGCATGAGATGTCAAGCAACTAGGGAAAATAAGTCTTTCATTATTTTTGGAGCTCTGTTAACATACTACAGCAAAAAGAAATCTGTAATAGGGTGAAAGAGGTGATGGGGATTAAAGAGTACACTTATCCTGATGAGCACTGCGTAGAATTGTTGAATCATTCTATAGTGTACATCTGAGACTAATATAACACTGTATGTGAAAAATACTGGGATTAAAATAAAAAACAATTTTTTAAAAACCCTCTAATACACCCAGTTACAACCTGTAGCATCAGGAATGGTTCATCACCAATGATTCTCAATGGTTTACCTCAATTGGCATATGCATATATAACACATTCAGCCCATCCTTGAATTTGTCACTGCGAAAATAATCTTAACTTTTCTGGGTGTAAATTCAAGGCAGAAACCTACATCTGTCTGTGTATGGAGAGCATCTGTGAAAGTTATATCCAACAACAAACCTATAATACATAATTTAGGAAATATTTTTAAAGTTAAATTCAGCCTTCCTAACTAGTATGGTGATGATGTTTTTTCAACTATAAACAGATACGTCCTATTATGATTCAAGTTGGTATATTTTCAACTACAATGGAGAATAATGGAGCTGGAAAAGTCCTAGAGATAGTTTGGAGATATTCCACTCCAAACTTCCCATTTTACATATGAGAAACATAAGGCCAAGGAAGAAGGAAATTATTCCTTTGTCCAAAGTTATACAATATACTAATGGAAAAGATAATGAATGGTCCCTGGGCTTCAGCCCATCCCAACCACTGCTTTCTAGACTGAGTATCAGGCTCAGAGGATGCAGGGAGAGCCCACTCTGCCCATTATCCACTGGCTTCCCAATACCACTGTCCTTGGGCCTGGCCCTGAGGCCTTGCACCAGTCCCTTCAGGCCCCAGCTCACGTGGTAAAGGGCCCATAGGCCAGGCCCTGCTGGTCCCGGTGCTCCTTCCATAGTTCCATGTCGTTCCGTACTGGGTACTTGCCCTCTTGCCGCATCACTTGCTCCAGGAGGGGGGCACTGGCCAGGTTCACATGGGTCTGAGGCCCTATGCGGGTTACCCACATTGGACCATACTTGGCCTTGTTCAGCACCTGTGGGGTTCAACCAAAGCTGAATAACCATGGCCTATCCAGGCAGGCATTTACTAGAGAGGAGATGCGATCAGGGAGTATCTGATAGTCACACCAGAGTAAGTGGGCTGGGCCAAAGCACGTTCTATAGGAGGTAGGCACTAGGATGGCCTGTGGTTCTCAAAGGAGAACTCCGAAAAAAATGGGTACACAGGAGTTAGAACACTGAGAGCACCAAGCATCTGGTAGAACTGGTGGAGTTGAAGTCCTTGGAGAAATGAAATTTAAAAAAAATGGGATATGTGGCAAACTGGGGTCTGTATTGAGGTATAGATGTTTGGGGTCTGAGATCTTAGAGAAATTGAACCCTTTAGTGAGGTATAATAGAATGCCTACAGCTCCTTCATAGAAGCATTTAAATCTAATGCAGCTTGCTGTCAATGAGCTAAAGATAAGTATCTCATATAATCAATAAGAAAAAAGAAACACAACAGAAACTCCAGGAACAACAAGAAGCTGAATGAGAAAGCCAAGATTCAAATATGAAGTATACTTTGTGGTATGATTTTTATTTATTTATTTATTTATTTATTTATTTATTTATTTATTTTGAGAGAGAGGGACAGTACAAGCGGGAGGGGCAGAGGGAGAGAGAGAGAGAATCTCAAGCAGACTCCATGCTGGGCTCAGAGCCCGATGAGGGGCTTGATCCCAGGACCCTGAGCCAAAACCAAAAGTCAGGCGCTTACACCGACTATGCCACCCAGGCACCCTGGTATGAATTTTTTTTAAATAAAACAATTTATTAACTGTGTTAAGTAATATGATTCTCAAATATTTTATCTTAGAATTTCTAAAGCACTTGACAATTGATACCCATAGCATCTATGAAATTGACATGAGTATAATGTTTTTAGAGTTATTGAAAATGAGGAGGGAAATAAATATATTTTGGGCTTGGGGGGTAAAACTTAAGAAGAATCCACAAATAACTGAGGCTAAATTTACTGGCTAAGTTACACCTATAAACTTAAAGAATATGAAACATAGTGTTTTCCCAGGTACTTCATCTTTCATAATTTGTTACTGAAAAGATGTTAAGAGGATCAGAATCTGCTCCAGTACAGAAATTAGACCAAAGCATTTCTGTAAAAGATGTGTTAAATTATAGAAAAGAGATCTTTCATTCAAACCATAGAAAGAAACTTCACCCAGCTCCTGGTCCAGAAAAACAGCAATCTTCCTGGGTTTTACTATTGACATTAAAAACTAGATTCTCCCAGGACCAATGTGACCCGATTGCCCTCAATATACTACTGAGTTGTCCAGAATCCGTCCTGAACTAACAGCTGATTCTGTCAGGTTCTAGGAAAACAGCCTCGACAAACCCCCAACATCTTTTTAGTTTTGTTTCCCACTTCTACCTCCCAGTAATGCCTGCCAGTGTGGTCTGGTTTTGAACAGATGGTTGTCTGGAAATTAGTGATTCTTGGAGAAAAACAGGCATATTCATACATTGCTGGTGGGAGTTTAAAATGACACAAACCTACATGGAGGATGGATGTCTACATAATGGAATACTATGTCACCTTAAAAGAGGATGAAGCGGCTTCTGGTGTAATAATATGGAACGATGGATCGTAATGTGGAAAGATAGATAACCAAGGTAGACTGTTAAATGGAAAAGTATGATATCTGCTGTCTAAGAAAGGGGGGCCAAATAAGAATATACAGCATTTACATTTGCTTTTATAAAGAAACACTGGGTTAATACATCAGAAACTAACTAAAGTTACTACCTATGGGCGGGTGGACGGGATGGCAGTGAGAGGCAAGACTGCATGATGTATATCTTGTCATATTGCTTTGAGTTTTGAACTATGAGAATGAATTCAACTTTTTCAAATCTAAAGGGAAAAAAAGAAAGTGCCTTGTGAAATAATGAGTCACCTGCCATTGATCAGGTAATTCCAGAAAGCAGGAAAGGCTTGCCAAACCTCTCAATTCATGTATATACTCCTTAGATTTGTAACGGGGCCCTAGCTTTATTCACTTTGTTTATTTCTCGTAAAGGTTCCATTTTTTAAAAGTACTTATATGGGGGCGCCTGGGTGGCCCAGTTGGTTATGTTCCAACTCTTGATTTCAGCTCAGGTCAAAATCTCAGGGTTGTGGGATTGAGCCTCACGATGGGCTCTGCAATGGGTGTGGAGCCTGCTTGGGATTCTTTCTCTCCCTCTCCCTCTGTGCAACCCCTCTCTCTCTGGCTCTTAAAAAAAAAAAAAAAAATGAAAGTCCTTATATGTCTGTTTTCCTGTACTGAATCCCTTAGGAGAATTATCCTAAATGTAAATTTTAATTTGTGTTTCCAGTTGATTCATTAATGATATTAATGACATAATAATAATGATAATAACAGTAAATATTTCCATGGAGCTTAGCATAAACCAGACACCGTTCCAAGTACTTTACTTAGTTAGAAATTCAGTCCTCACTACAGCTGTATGAGGGGGTGTAACGTTACCACAATTTTGTAGATGAGGGAACTCAGGCCCAAGGAGGTTGCCCAAGGTCACATTACTGGGAAGCAGAGGAGTCAGAATTCAAACTAAGACCACCTAGATGGAGGTCATGCTCTCAACCACTTACTCTACTGATCCCTGAGAAAACTGACTATGTCCTACTAACCAGAAACAAACTTAGGCCCTTTAAAAATATGCATTATTTAAAACCAACATAACTATGCAATAAATCAGGGTTCCTCACTGCACTACTGACATTTGGGGCTGGATGATTCTTTATTGTGGTGGACTGTCCTGTGCACTGTAGGATGTTTAGCAGTATCCTTGGCCTTTACCCATGAGCATCTCTCTGCCCTCCAAGTTGTGACAATCAAAAACATCTCCAGACATTGCCAAAATGTCCCCAGAGGGGCAAAACCACGCAGGTTGAGAACCTCCACAATAACCCCAACCTTTTTGTTGTTGTTGGTGGTGGTTTGTTTATTTGCTGTTGTTTTGTAACCCCAACCTTTTAATACGACTCTAATTCCTTAATTTTAGAGGACTCTTCTTAAGAAACAATATCTCATTTTGAAAAAAATACTTATCTGAAGTTTGGTTTCTTTTCCTTGTGTTAAGTTCAAATACAATTACATGCAACAGTTTTATAAAAATGCAAAAGGGGTTATCGTTGAGTCATGGTTTGTAGATAGGTTACTTCCTTCTTTATACTGTAATTTGCTTTTCAGATGTTCTTCCATGATCTTGGAATCAGAAAAAAAAATTCATGTTTTAAAAGACTAGAGCAATCATCATTTACTTGGGGACTGGCTTCTTCTCCGGAATCCAAAGCCTCTGGCACCTCTCCCTGGCTGTCAATTTCCAGGTTTCTGAGACATTCCCCCCTTTGCGTAAGCTATGCTTTCTTCCCTCTTCTTTCATGTTCCTCTTCTCAGTTTACTCAGTGGAACTTAACTGGGATCTATTTATGTAAGAACTTATTTTAGAAAGACACCAGAATACTTGCTGAAAGAGTGAGCTGTGTCTGTGAACCTACCATTAGGCCGTAACCTGAGCCAGTTAGAGAGCCTCAAGGTTCTCAGATAAATCCTTGTCCAAGTGCCACTCTGCAGAACACAGTCCCCTAGGGATCATCCTCCAGGATGAATGGGAGGGGTAGCTTCCACCAAGTGAGATTCTGAAGGGGGAGAGTGATGAATTCACTCAACATTCATTTATTGAGCTCATGTCCTTTCCTTCTATACTGATCTCGGGGCTGAGGATACAACTGTGAGCACAGCAGGAACACCTACCCTTACAGAGTTTACATCTTAATGCATGAGCCACACAGTGGAGTTGCTTATAAATTACTCCCTAGTTATGTCTTGTCTCCTCAACTAGATGGAAAATCTTCGAGGGCAGGAACCACGTCATACTTCTTTATTGCTTCCCATATTGCTTGACATACCACTAGGCACATTTTAGACACTTATTGTTTAACAGTTGTCAATAAATCAGGTGGAGAAAAAAGGTTGCAGACAACACAAGTTGCAGACAGAAACAAAGACACACAGAAAGGAGGTGGGGAAGGAGATTCACAGGAAACTGGTAACAGTGGCTCCAAAGGAGTGGCCACTAGTTGTAAAAGCCTGGAAGAGTTATCTGAAAAGGAAATTAAGAAAATAATTCCATTCAGGATTGGATCTGTTCTGGACTGAATATTTGTGTTTGGGGGAATTCATATGGTGAAGCCCTAGCCCCCCAGTGTGGCTGTATTTAGAGATGGAGCCTCTAAGGAAGTAAGATTAAACAAGTAATTAAGATTAAATAAGAGTGAGTCCCTGATCCAATAGGATTAGTGTCCGCATAAGAAGAGACATCAGAGAGCATTCTCTCTCTGCACGCAGACACCAAGAAAGGCCATGTGAGGACACAGGGAAAAGGTGGCCGTCTACAAGCCAGAAAGAAAGCTGTCACCAGAAACCAACCATGCTGGCACCCTGATCTCAGACTTCCAGCCTCCAGAACTGTGAGAAAATAAATTTATATTGTTTAAGACACCCATATTTTGGTGTCTTATTATTACCTGTCATATTTTGTTATAGCAGCCAGAGAAGACTAATACAGAGCATCCAAAAGAATAAAATACTTAGGAATAAATTTAGCCAAGGAGGTGAAACACTTGTACACTGAAAGCTACAAAACATTGCTGAAAGAAATTAAAGAACTAAATAAATGGAAAGATATCCCATGTTCATGGATAGGGAGACTTAATATTGTTAAGATGGAGTACTCCCCAAAGTCTACAGATGCAATCCAATCTTCACCAAAATGCCAATGACCTTTTCTGTAGAAATGGAAAATCAAGGCCCTGACTAGACAAAAAAAATACTGAAAAAGAAAAACAAAATTAGAAGATTTACACCTCCTAATTTTAAAACTTACTACAAAGCTACAATAATCAAAACAGTGTGGCAGTAGCATAAGAATACACATATACACCAATGGATAAGAACTGACA